CGATCGGCAATTCACCGTGGGGTTGGTCTGGGGAGCCCTGGGAGACCCCCAGGGAAGCTCGAATCGCCAGGAAACGTCTTTTCCAGCCAGAAGGAGGTCCACTCTGGAAAACTTTAGGATTCGAGGTCGAAAAAAAAATTGCCAGTGGCAAATCATGCCTTTTAGCGTTTTTATGTTGGTGATCCAGAAAGGGCCAGACCAACCCCACGGTGAATTCGGTTGATGTTTTGGGGTTATAAGTCTCTTTGACGATCGCCCAGGCGGGCACAGGATTATCGCTTGCGCGTAAGCCGCATCATTGATAATGAGATAAGGCCCTCGCGGGCCCTGCCTGACGGCAACCGAGACTCTGCTGAGCTGGTCTGTGAATTCACGTTCGGCCGTGAGGTAGTCTGACTGCGAGGTGCCAGTTAGGGCGCTTGCCGCCTAAATGGGTGGGTGGATACGGGCCAAGCGGCCCTGGGCGAGTTTGGCCCTCCAGGAGCTCCCCCAGGAGCTCCCCAGGAGCCCACCAGGAGCTCCCCAGGGCTCCCCCCAGGGCGCGCTGAATTAGCTCCCGCCCGAGGCCCATCCAGGAGCCCCCCCAGGAGCCCACCAGGAGCCCCCCAGGGCCCTCCCCAGGGCCCCCGCAGGGCGCGCGCCACGGTGAATTAGCTCCCGCCCGAGTCCCTCCAGGAGCCCCCCAGGAGCTCCCCAGGAGCCCCCCAGGAGCCCCCTAGAGCCCCCCAGGGCCCTCCCCAGGGCGCGCGCCACGGTGAATGAGCTCCCGCCCGAAGCCTTCCAGGAGCCACCTCAGGAGCTCCCCAGAAGCACTCCAGGAGCCCTCAAGAGCTTTCCAGGGCACCCCCCCAGGGCGCGCGCCACGGTGCCTCCAGGAGCTCCCCCAGGAGCTTCCCAGGAGCCCCCCCAGGAGCCCCCCAGGAGCCCCCCAGGGCCCTCCCAGGGCGCGCGCCACGGTGAATTAGCTCCGCCCCAAGCCCACCAGGAGCCCCCCAGGACCCCCAGAACCCTTCAGGAGCTCTTCAGGAGCCACCCAGGAGCCCTCCTGAGGGCCCTCCAAGCCTCCGCGCTCCCAAGTACGGAGCGCGTGTGTCGCCGAAGGTGTTTTGCGTTCGCGCGCTCTGTCGTGGCAGTTTTCGCGGGTCGACCCCGCGCGACGGGCAGCTCCCGCGCAAACCCGTTTGCGCAGCACCGGCCCGTCCGAGGCAACAGCAACAACAGCAAGGGGCGGGGGTCGCAAACTCATCTCTGGGCCGCTTGGAGCCCGAAACCCAAGGGAATAGGACAACGCGGGTGGTCTAGGAAGCTCTTACAGGCTGGGGAGCACCCGGGAAGGCTCAGTGGAGGTGCTTGCGAGAAGAAGCCTACCAGGAGCACCCCAGCCCCCAGGAGCTCCCCAGGAGCTCTCCAGAGCTCCCCAGGAGCCTTCAGCGCGCCTGGGAGCGCCTGGGAGCGCCTTGGAGCGCTGCTGGGACGCTTGGGAGCGCCTGGGGACGCTTCTGGAGCGCATGGGAGCGCTTGGGGACGCCTGGGAGCGCCTGGGAGCGCCTGGGATCGCCTGGGAGCGCCTGGGAGCGCCTGGGAGCGCCTCGGAGTGCTTCTTGAGCGCCTGGGAGCGCCTGGGAGCGCCTGGGAGCGCCTGGGAGCGCCTGTGAGCTCTTCCGAGCGCGTGGAAACGCTTGGGAGCGCCTGGGATCGCTTGGGAGCAGACCGCCGGCGCGCCGAAGTACGGAGCGCGTGTGTCGCCGAAGGTGTTTTGCGTGCGCGCGCTCTGTCGTGGCAGTTTTTGCGGGTCGACCCCGCGCGACGGGCAGCTCCCGCGCAAACCCGTTTGCGCAGCACCGGCCCGTCCGAGGCAACAGCAACAACAGCAAGGGGCGGGGGTCGCAAACTCATCTCTGGGCCGCTTGGAGCCCGAAACCCAAGGGAATAGGACAACGCGGGTGGTCTAGGAAGCTCTTACAGGCTGGGGAGCACCCGGGAAGGCTCAGTGGAGGTGCTTGCGAGAAGAAGCCTACCAGGAGCACCCCAGCTCTCAGGAGCTCCCCAGGAGCTCTCCAGAGCTCCCCAGGAGCCTTCAGCGCGCCTGGGGAGCGCCTGGGAGCGCCTTGGAGCGCTGCTGGGACGCTTGGGAGCGCCTGGGGACGCTTCTGGAGCGCATGGGAGCGCTTGGGGACGCCTGGGAGCGCCTGCGCCTGGGATCGCCTGGGAGCGCCTGGGAGCGCCTGGGAGCGCCTCGGAGTGCTTCTGGAGCGCCTGGGAGCCTGGGAGCGCCTGGGAGCGCCTGTGAGCTCTTGCGAGCGCGTGGAAACGCTTGGGAGCGCCTGGGATCGCCTGGGAGCAAACCGCCGGCGCGCCTAAGTACGGAGCGTGTGTGTCGCCGAAGGTGTTTTGCGTGCGCGCGCTCTGTCGTGGCAGTTTTTGCGGGTCGACCCCGCGCGACGGGTAGCTCCCGCGCAAACCCGTTTGCGCAGCACCGGCCCGTCCGAGGCAACAGCGACAACAGCAAGGGGCGGGGGTCGCAAACTCATCCTGGGCCGCTTGGAGCCCGAAACCCAAGGGAATAGGACAACGCGGGTGGTCTAGGAAGCTCTTACAGGCTGGGGAGCACCCGGGAAGGCTCAGTGGAGGTGCTTGCGAGAAGAAGCCTACCAGGAGCACCCCAGCCCCCAGGAGCTCCCCAGGAGCTCTCCAGAGCTCCCCAGGAGACTTCAGCGCGCCTGGGGAGCGCCTGGGAGCGCCTGGGAGCGCTTTGGAGCGCTGTTGGAACGCTTGGGAGCGCCTGGAAACGTTTCTGGAGCGCATCGGAGCGCTCGGGGACGCTAGGGAGCGCCTGGGAGCGCCTGGGGTCGCCTGGGAGCGCCTGGGAGCGCCTGGGAGCGCCTCGGAGCGCCTCGGAGCGCTTCTGGAGCGCCTTTGGGCGCCTGGGAGTGCTTAGGAAGCTCATAGGAGGTGCCTGCGGGCAACCCTCAGGAGCACCCCAGCTCCCCAGGAGCTGGCTCGGAGCCCTCCAGGACACCCCAGGAGCTCCCCAGGAGCCCTCAGGCTCCCCCAAGGATTCTATCGCTTCTTAAGCGCCCCCAAGAACCCCACAGGAACCCAGCGCCTGGGAGCGTGCTGCTGAGGATCGGGCCACGAAAACTACTGATTCATGTCCCTGGGCCGCGCTTTCCCTGGGCCCAGGCGCCGCGGGCGCGCCTTCCTGGCCGAGCCAGTTCGGCGCGGCGCCTGCGCCGCTGCTGGGTTCAGGTTGCGTCTGCCTCGGGAGCAATGAGCATTAGTGATGTCGGCGCCATCGAAGAGGACGACAGCTACCTGAGCAGCTGAGCGACGGCAAAGCCCGGCGGCACCGCGGTACAGCTGTGGGCGGCGCCCACAAAAACACAGCCGCAGCTGCTGGCAGCCGCCGCCAACGACGACGCAACGACGACCTGCGCTGTCGAGCCTCCATCTGGTCTGGAAGTTCGGCAGCGGGGGGGGGCTTCCGCGCGGCTTGAGCCGACCCTTCGCGCTGTCGCTGGAAGCCCCGAGGCTTTGCAGCAACGCGCGGGAGGGGTCGGCCAGAGCTGCGCGGAAACCTAGGGGGCCATCTCCGTCCGCCTCCACGCGGCGGCCCCCGGGGAAGCGTAGCGACGCGACCTCGACCCGACGCGTCGGGTCGCGTCGCTGCGTTTCGCGAAGGACGGAGTTCGCGCGACTACGAACCCCACGGTGAATGGGCCATTGCCCATCGTGGCATCGTCGGGATCATCTGGTTGTCTCAAGGGGTTCACAGCGCACCCGCGGAGGCGCGTGGTGCCCAAGGCGAGTCTCAGGGGCTGGGCGCATGCGGAACACGCAACGTGCTCTGGCCCTGGGGACCATCTGAGCGCCACCTTCCAGGCTTGGGCGCATCTACCCCTCCCAACCCTCTGACCCTCTTGTGCTCCGAGACTCTGCGGGAGCGCCTGGGGGCTCCTGGGGGCTCCTACACCCGACACTACCCGCAGATCCTCTGGATGCCCTGCCTGCATCCCGCCCTCGGGCCCACTGCCTCTGCCCTGCCCACTCAGATTGCACGCCGCAGGGGGGCAATCATATAACATCTCGACAGAGGGGCACACCCCGCCTGCTCTTACCCAAGGGGCCGTCCGAGCGCAACCTTCCAGGCCTGGATGTATCTACCCCTCCCACCCCTGAGACCCTCATGCATGTAGGGTCCTCGCTTGCGGATATTCACTGGCCCGCTCTGGGCCTGTCGATCCCTGCGCCACCTCCGAACCTGTGCCCTCTCCCTTCCGTAGCCGTCGGCTGAGTCAAGTGTCTCGAACTGCATCCCCGCGGACACCTCTGTCCCTTTGCGCGAGCCCAGGAGTGCTTCTAAACTCTGAGCCTTTACATCGCGACAATGGCCGCGCAGTCGAGCAAGCTCGGCCGCGCCATTGCCATCGGCCTCGGCCTCTACTGCGTCGCGAGCACGGTGTTCTTCTCCTTCCGCCTGGAGATGAGAGCCACCCGCAGCATGGCATCGCCGACCGGCAGCCAGCGCGGGCGCGCACGCCTTCTCGTCGAAGTGGAGCACAGCGACACGGACAACGGGCAGAGCAACTACCTCTACGAGAACGACAACTACATGGATGACTCCCTCGTGGCTGTAACCGCTACAGCGGCCGCCACGGTGACCTCGACGCCCAGTCTCCTCCTGCCGCCACCGAGTTCTACGGCAGCGCCATTATTGAGGACCTCTCGGACTACGACGACGACGACATCGACGTCGATCTCGACAACGTCTTCTGCGTCTCACGTGATTGTGGAGCCGTCGGCGAACGTGGGTGACCCGATCCTCGTGCTCAACAAGAAATGGTTCGCGGAATAGGGCGGTAAGAGATACTGGGGGCTGTAAAGCGGTCCCTGGACCTCTCCCAGGGTCACACCAGCACCAGTTTTCCGAGTGTTCAGCCGTGGCGATAGTGGGTGACCCCGAGGGCAAACTTCGGTGTCTCAAACGGCCCTCCTCTGAGGTTCGACCTGATGCTGGAGGGCGCGAAGACGCTGGAGATTCGGCATCAGCGCCAAATCGGGAAGCGGCTCGTGGGCGAGAAGGGCCGGATCTGGGGCAGCGTGACGCTCGGCGAGGACCCCTTCCAGATCATGAGCGACGCCGAGTGGAACGAGCTGCGCCCGAGGCACAGGTGGCCTGCCGAGAAAGTGCATCTGCCTTACGCGAAGACGTGGGCAATGACCGTGAAGGACGTCACGCTGTTCAGCTCCACTATCAGGTACCTCATGATCGAAGGCCAGGAAGGCACGGCGACTTACCGGGCAGTCCCAGACGGCTGGGATCCTGACGGGAGGTACAAGAAGGCCGACTACGAGAGGTACATGATCGACCAAGGCCACCCCGCGGGCAAGGGCAGAGGGGCGCAGAAGAGGCGCGCGGCGGCATCTGGCACCGCGCGGAAGCGACCCGCGGCAGCTATGGACGAGGCCGATGCAGCCGCCGCCGTTGCCCCGCCTCGGCAGCCACACCTGAACGTGCCCGTGCCGCCAGACGGGAGGTGCCTCTCCTACTGCGCGCTCGCCGCCCGCGACACGCGGGCGTGGATGCGTCAGAGGGACGCCAACGGCTTCATCCACGGTGACCCCGACAGGGAGGCGAGCGAGCGCGAGAAGGCCAAGGCGCTCGTGGACAGGATCATTGGCGCCATGGAGGACGACGGCCTGCACCAGATGGCCGCGCGCCTGCGGTTGGCGGGGGACGCAGGGTACCCTGGCGAAGACGAGCTCCCCTTCTACGCCAGGGTCCTCCAGGGGCGCATCGAGCTCGACGACCCAGTGGGCTACCTGCGGCAGCAGAACTACGCGGCGGCCGACGACGTCGTCGACGCGGAAGCGCTGGAGATTTACGCAAAGTCCGTGAACGGTCGTGTTGTGCATGCTGCGCCGACCGTCGGCGCTGGCGCGCCCATCCCTGTCATCGAGTTCGGCGACGTTGGCGCGCCGCTGCTGTACAGAGTTGCGTTCCAAATGATTACTGGTCCAGACGGCCACTCGTCGCCCCACTGGATCCTCGCCTGCTCCTACTACATGCCCATGGCTGCCCGACCGCCGCCAAAACCTCGGGCGCAGTTCTACGACCTGGAAGCAGGGGCGTCTGGTGGCAGCGAAGACGAGTCCGACGGGTCGCAGGGCGATGACGTCGACGAGCTGGGCAACGTGGTCGGCCTCATCGACGACGGCGACAACAGAGGAGACGACTCGGACGACTCCTCCAACAGGCGCTTCTGGGAGGACGCGCTGAGGGACCAGGAAGGCACCGCCACACCCGACGCTGGCGAGGCAGCGCAAGGCGCCGACTTGCCCGTGGCGCACTCGGAGGCCGAGGAGGCTGCAGGGCCCGACGAGCTCACCGCGGAGGAGAGACGGAAGGCACAGGAGGAGTGGGCCGACCAGCTGATCTCCGAGGGGATGATGCAGCCGTGGGGCGAAGACGAGCTGTTCGAACCCGAGGGCTACGACCCCGACGACGACCAACTGCTGGACGAGGATGACCTGCCGCTGTTCGACGTGGAGGACGCGCCAGACATGCAGCTGGACAACGCGGGAGGCGATGGCGATGGAGACGCCGCCGAGGAGCCACCCCCGTCCGGGGCGGTGCGGAAGCGCCCTGCCGGCGCCAGCCAGCAGGAGGGGGGGCCGAAGCAGAAGAAGAGACGCCGGGGCACGGACTTGTGCCTCGGAGCAAACAGGGAGGACCACTGTGCGTGTACGCAACTGATGGGCGACCAGGCGACAGGGCCCATGTGCAGCCTGGGCGAGACCAACTGCGCTGTATGTTCTGCGATGGCGACACTCTGCGGGCGCGGGGCGCCGTCCGCAAGGGCCAGGACATCACCAGCGCGCTCAAGAGCCTCATGCAGTACGACCGCCCCGACCTCGTCGACGGCGCCCTCGACTTCATCGCCGCTGTGCTCGGCCAGGAGAAGCGCGACAAGTACAAGGCCAACGCCGAGCGCGCGCTCCATCGCCAACGGAAGAAGGACAACCCGGTGCCCGCGACGGACCTCCAGAGGGAGTGGCAGGAGGCGCTCAAGCATCGCGTGAGCGTGGTGCCGCGGCAGAAGAAGCAGACGCGCAGAGCCTACCCCACCTGGGTCAGGGACGACAAGAAATTCCGGCGCAACAAGTTCAAAACCGCCCTGGACGACGACGTCGAGGACTGGGCGGAGCCGCAGGCCGTGGCCTTCACCAAGTGGGCGGAGCTCGCCTCCTGGGGCATGTGCAAGATCTGCAAGCGCCTGGAGAAGAGGTCCTTCGCGCCCGCGGACGTGGCGGCGGCGATGATGCGCCTCCCCGACGCGGAGCGCAAGAAGGGCCGCAAGGCTGGCCAGCGCAGCGCCTGGATCAACAAGTGCAAGTATTGCGCTAGCCCGCCAGAGAAGCGAGTGGGCTACCCCGCCGTCCAGATCGAGGACATCCCCGAGCCGCTGCGCCACCTCAGCGTGGCCGCGCTGGAGGCGTTGAGGCCGATGGAGGTGTCCATAGGGCCGCATGCGCGGGCCGCACACGGATACAGGGTCCACACCGACATGATCGGCTTCCGCTGGAAGGCCACCGACGTCCTGACGGCCGTGAGCGAGCTCCCCGAGCGCCACCAGCGCAGGGCCATGGACGCCCTCGAGTACCTCGAAGCGCACGACGACCCCGCCGAGGAGGACTTCTCCAGCTGGGCCACGCTCACAGAATACTACCTGGCCCATCCTCAGAAGAGCGCGTACTTCGCAATCATGCGCTTGCACAACAGGTTCCTCCGCAGGAACCGCAACGACCTCTCGCAGAAGAAGCGCCGCCTCGCGATGCGCCTCGTGGAGCAGCTCGGCATCGAGACGGCCCTCTGGCCCCACCTGTACCCGAGGGTGTCTATGTGCGAGACCTACGTCCGCCTGATGGACGAGCGGCGGATGGTGCGCACGCGGGCCGCGCGACGGGCTGCGCACTTTGATGACACCGACGACTCCGCCGACAGTGACGACGCCGAGGCCGACGGCAAGAAGCGCCAGTCGCTCAAGCGCAGCTACACGGCCAAGGTCTTCTCGCCCGTGATCGGCTACGGCGCCGACACCGAGCTCGCCCAGTTCGTCTACGACCTCTGGCTCTGGGCGGCACTGGGGGGCAAGAAGCACGCTGCCAAGGTGCCCATGCGCCTGGCGCTGGCTGGCATGTCCTTCAGCCCCGAGTACTGGCGCACCTACCACTTCGCCCTCATCGACCTGCAGCGCCAGCTGGGCTTCCCGACCCTGTTCGTGACCCTGTCGCCGCTGGAGTGGTCCACGCCGTTCCACGTCTGGGTCGAGGACGAGATGCGGCGGACGCTGCGATCGCGCACTTGGCTGCCGGCCGCAGAGACCTACCACCTGTCGCACGTGCTCACCCAGGCCATCGTCGGGCTGCTGACCGGGACCAAGGGGAAAGTCAACTCGAGGGAGTCTTCGGCGTGGACACACCACGTGCTTGCTGGCAAGGACGCCGAGGGCAAGCCGACGCAGCGCGTGATCACGCAGTTCGCGCGCATCGAGTTCCAGGACGGCAAGCGCAAGCGCGGCGGGCCCAACGCGCGGCACGCCTACCACGGCAGCGGCCGCCCCCACGTCCACTGCCTCGTCTGGCTGGAGAAGGTCGCCACGATCGATCTCCCCAGCAAGGTCTCCGCCACCATCCCAGACGACGAGGAGCAGGAGCAGCTCTACCACATCGTCATGGGCTCCCAGACCTCCACGCACGGCTCCCATCCGTGGCCTGAGCGCAAAGAGGAATCCATCTGGGACGAGCGGGGGAAGACGCTGAGGCTCCACCACACCGCCAGGGACCTGCACCACAAGCTCCGCGCCTACATGCCGGCCGTCATCGCGGGCATGAAGTCCCACATGGACGTGCAGACCTCCGATGGCCGCGGCATGCTCCTGCGCTACGTCTCCTCCTACACCGCCAAGTTCTCCGACCAGTTCTCCTCCGAGTGGCTCAATGACGAGGCTTCCGACTACGCCATCAGCCGCCGCATCCTCACGGAGTTCCACCCGCTCGAGCCGGAGATGTGGCTCCAGCTCGCCGCAGCGGAGTACTCCCAGGTCCTCACGCACGGCACCGTCAAGAACTTCCCCGTGCCCGTGCCGTGGAAGGGCAAGGAGATGCCCGCGGTCGTCGAGCGCTACACGCACAGCGCCTGGCGACCCGACGACATGAGCCTCCTGGAGTACGTGCGGCGCTCCAACAGCAGGGGCGGCGTACACCGCGCGCTCCGCCTGCGCTACGCCAACCTCCAGAAGGCGAACGACCCCTCCGTGGCCCACGTCGACCTGGAGACCTGGGCTGCACGCGTGCCCATGCGCGGCGAGGTCCTGGTGGCGGCGCGCTCCAACTCCCGCTTCAGCGACGAGTACTACGGCCAGTGGATGCTCCTCCACGTCCCCTTCCGCAGCGTGCATGAGCTCTGGCAGGATGCCGCGGAGCTCGTGCCGACGGGCTACAGGCTGTTCGCCCACTGCCTCCTCCACCGCCCTGACCTCTGGCGGAGCGAGGCATGGTTGCGCTCCGACATGGAGCTGGAAGCCCACCGCGACCCGACCATCGACTCCAACGTGGCGATGATCAAGGCGCACATCACCCTCGTCGACGACTACCTCGAGGGCCGCCTCGTGGTCGGGGAAGACCCCGAGCCGCCGCGACACCACTACGCCTTCGATGGCCGCATTACCACCCTCGAGCCCGAGCAGATACCCGTCGCCGACCTCATCACGAGGCGCTGGCACAGGGCGGTGGAGCTCGCCTGGCCCGACGACTACGAGGACCACAACTACGGCCCGTCCGAAGACGAGGACCCGCGCCCCATCGCCGTCCTGGGGCCCGCGGGGAGCGGCAAGTCCTTCCTCATCAAGGTCGTCATGCAGGACGCAATCGCCCAGGGCGCCCGCGTCCTCCTCGCCTGCCCCACGCGCCGACAGGTGGCGCGCTACCGCGAGGACATGCCCGACCTCGACGTCGACAGCATCCACAGGGCCTTCAACGTCTACCTCCCCGAGCAGCAGACGCTCCAGCGCATGCAGGACTTCGACCTCGTTGTCATCGAGGAGATCAGCATGGTCGAGATGTGGATCTTCGAGCGCCTCCTGCGCCTCTGGGACGCGGCCGCGCGGCGCCCTGCGCTCGTCTTCGTCGGCGACTTCCGACAGCTCCGCTGGATGGACAGCCCGCGCGTCCTCGAGCACTGGCGCTGGGCCCACGTCGACGTGAGGGAACTCAAGATCATGCGCCGCTGCAAGTGCCCCACTCTCAAGAAGAAGCTCGAGCTCCTCCGTACGGCCACGCCGAGCAGGCCGCAGCTCGTGGAGATCATCCAGGACCATCGCGCGCCTTCGCCCATCCATCGGGACGTGGGCTGGTGGGAGCGCGAGGAGCCCACGGAGTATGAGATCGGCCAGGTCTTCGAGGAGCACCCCACCACGACGTTCGTCACGATCTCCAGGGCCAAGGCGGCGTGGGTGAACCAGGCAGCCTTGCGGCACTTCTATTGGGAGCAGGAGCCGCTGGGCACCATCGACGCCGACCCTGAGTTCAACCCGCGCAACTTCTACGGCACCAAGCAGGTGAGCTGGGCCAACATGCGCTTGCCCATCTTCGAGGGCATGCGCGTGGGCTTCACCGCCAACATTCGCCCCGAGATCGATTTCGTCAACGGCATCGAAGGCCACGTCATCATGATGGACCACACGGGCGTCCTGGTCAAAACGACCACTGGACACATGGTCAAGGTCGCGCCATACACCAACCAGGAATGGCGCAACGTTTACTACCCGCTGCGACTTGCCTACGCCACCACCCTCATGAAGGTGCAGGGCGATACTCTCAGCCACATGACACTCTGGATGGACACGCCTGGCGCCGAGGCGGCGGGATACGTGGCTCTCTCCCGTGTGCAGCGCGACAGAGACTGGAAGTTCGTGGGCTTCCTCAAGCAGAAACACTTCGTGCCCGCGCAGCTCTGAGCAGCGCACACGGGGGGCGCGCAGGCGGGCGCGCGCTCGGGGCTCGGCCCGAAAGCACTGGCGGCCCGCACAGGCGCCGCGGGAAAGCGTCGCGGTGGGCGGCGCCCGCGAAACCCCGCCGCAGCTGCTGGCAGCCGCCGCCGACGACGACGCAACGACGGCCTGCGCCGCCGAGCCTTCATCTGCTCTGGAAGCTCGGCGGAGGAGGGGGGCTTCCGCGCGGCTTTAGCCGACCCTTCGCGCTGTCGCTGTGGGCCCCGAAGCTTTGCAGCAACGCGCGCGAGGGGTCGGCCAGAGCTGCGCGGAAACCTAGGGGGCCATCTCCGTCCGCCTCCACGCGGCGGCCCCTGGGGAAGCGTAGCGACGCAACCTCGACCCGACTCGTCGGGTCGCGTCGCTGCGTTTCGCGAAGGACGGAGCTCGCGCGACTTCGAACCCCATAGCGTGATACACAAAGCACTGTATGTCGCACACAGGAGAAAGACCGCCAAACTGATTGGAATCGTAGAGCCCTAAGAGAAAGAAAATCTCGGGTACCAAATGAACCCTAAACCCTAATAGAGAAAGCCGTGGGTGGTTCGCCGCCCTAACGGGCGCGGGGTGGGAATGTGAAAAGGGGAGCTGGCCCCGTAGCCGAAACATGATTCCGCTCAACATGATGTCACCACAACACGACTACCCCACCCCCACTCCATTTTATGGGTGGGGGTGGTCTTACACGAATGATGATCAGCAAGCGCTGACAGAGGACACCCTAAACCCTAAACCCTAAACCCTAAACCCTAAACTCGCCCAGGGCCGCTTGGCCCGTATCCACCCACCCATTTAGGCGGCAAGCGCCCTAACTGGCACCTCGCAGTCAGACTACCTCACGGCCGTACGTGAATCACAGGTCAGCCCAGGTGAGTCTCGGTTGCCGTCAGGCAGGGCCCGCGAGGGCCTTATCTCATTATCAATGATGCGGCTTACGCGCAAGCGATTATCCTGTGCCCGCCTGGGCGATCGTCAAAGAGACTTATAACCCCAAAACTACAACCGAATTCACCGTGCGCCTGCTCGGGGCCCTGCGGCGGCGCCAACATAAAAACGGTAAACGGTCACGAATCCCCACTAGCAATTTTTTTTTTCGACCTCGTATCTTAAAGTTTTACAGGGTGGACCCCCCGATCGGCTGGCTGGCAAAAGACGTTTCCTGGCAAAGCGGGCCCCAGCGGGGAATCCTGGGCGGGCCCGACCAGGCGCACGGTGAATTGGCAGCCGCCCAGGCCCAGGGGACCCCCAGACCAGGCGCACGGTGAATTGGCCACCGCCCATGGACGCCCCAAGGACGTCTCCTGGCGATTCGGGCGCCCCAAGGGTCCTCCAGACCAGGCGCGCGGTGAATTAGCCACCGCCCGGGGGGTCCGACCAGGCGCACGGTGAATTTGCCACCGCCCAAGGCCCCAGGGCGCTCCTGGGCGCCCCGGGGACGTCCCTCGCGATTCGGGCGCGCCAGGGCCCCCCCCCAGACCAGGCGCACGGTGAATTAGCCACCGCCCGGGGGGTCCGACCAGGCGCACGGTGAATTTGCCACCGCCCAAGGCCCCAGGGCGCTCCTGGGCGCCCCGGGGACGTCCCTCGCGTCGGGCGCGCCAGGGGGGGCCCAGACCAGGCGCCAGGGCGCTCCTGGGCGCCCCGGGGACGTCCCTCGCGACTCGGGCGAGCCAGGGGGCCCCCAGACCAGGCGCACGGTGAATTAGCCACCGCCCGGGGGGCCCGACCAGGCGCACGGTGAATTTGCCACCGCCCAAGGCACCAGGGCGCTCCTGGGCGCCCCGGGGACGTCCCTCGCGACTCGGGCGCGCCAGGGGAGCCCCAGACCAGGCGCCAGGGCGCTCCTGGGCGCCCCGGGGACGTCCCTCGCGACTCGGGCGCGCCAGGGGGACCCCAGACCAGGCGCGCGGTGAATTAGCCACCGCTCGGGGGTCCGACCAGGCGCACGGTGAATTTGCCACCGCCCAAGGCACCAGGGCGCTCCTGGGCGCCCCGGGGACGTCCCTCGCGATTCGGGCGGCAAGGGGGGCCCCAGACCAGGGCGCAGGGCGCTCCTCGGCCCCCCGGGACGTCCCTCGCGACTCGGGCGCCCCGGGGCCCCCAGATCAGGCGCACGGTGAATTAGCCACGCCCGGGGGGTCCGACCAGGCGCACGGTTTTTTATTTGCCACCGCCCAAGGGGCCCCAGGGCGCTCCTGGGCGCCCCGGGGATCGTCCTTCGCGATTCGGGCGCGCTGAGGAGGCCCAGACCAGGCGCACGGTTGAATTGGCCACACGAGAGCACCCGGGAGCTCCCTCCCCCAGGGCGCAGCGCTGGGCAGCGCTTGGGAGCGCCTGCGAGCGCTTGGGAGCGCCTGGGAGCGCCTGGGAGCGCCTGCGAAAGCCTGGGAGCCCCCCAGGAGCCCACCAGGAGCCCTTCACGACCCCCCCAGGGCGCGCGCCACGGTGAATTAGCTCCCGCCCGAAGCCCTCCAGGAGCTCCCCTCCTGGGAGCCCTCCCAGGAGCTCCCCAGGAGCCCCCCAGGAACCCTCCAGGAGCCCCCTCAGGGCCCCCCCAGGGCGCGCGCCACGGTGAATTAGCTCCCGCCCGAAGCCCTCCAGGAGCACCCCCAGGAGCTCCCCGGGAGCCCCCCAGGAGCCCCCCAGGAGCCCACCAGGGCACCCCCAGGGCGCGCGCCACGGTGAATTAGCTCCCGTCCGAGGCCCTCCAGGAGCCCTTCCCAGGAGCTCTCCAGGAGCCCCCCAGGAGCGTTCCCAGGGCACCTCAGGCGCCCGCCACGGTGACTTGGCAGCCGCCCAGGGCTCAGGGCGCGCCTGGGCGCGCCAGCTGGATGTCGTAGTTCAAGAGGAGCGGCATCGGCGGAGCGAGCGGAGCGAGGGAGCTGGCGCCACATGCGCACAATCAAACGCCCGGCACGGAGTTTTTTGTCACCCCAAACTCTTATCCACCGACGTAAAGCGTCAACCAAACCAGGATTTTGCGCATATCTAGATTCAAGAGGTATTGTGTATACGTGCGATACAAACAAGCATTGTATGTCGTCACACATGAGACAGAAACGTCAAGCCGATTGGAATCGTGGAGCCCTAGAGAAAGAGAAACTAGGACTTACCAAATGAAACCCTAAACCCTTAATAGAGAAGGCCGTGGGTGGTTCGCCGCCTAACGGGCGCGGGGTGGCAATGTGAAAGGGAGCTGGGCCCCGTAGCCGAAACTTCATGATCCGCTCAACCGATGTCACCACAAACGACTACCCCACCCCCACCCATTTTATGGGTGGGGGTGGTCTTACACGATTGATGATCAGCAAGGCGCTGACAGAGGACACCCTAAACCCTAAACCCTAACCCTAACCCTAACCCTAAACCCTAACCCTAACCCTAAACCCTAACCCTAACCCCAAACCCTAAACCCTAAACCCTAAACCCTAAACCCTAAACCCTAAACTCGCCCAGGGCCGCTTGGCCCGTATCCACCCACCCATTTAGGCGGCAAGCGCCCTAACTGGCACCTCGCAGTCAGACTACCTCACGGCCGTGCGTGAATATCAGGCCAGCCCAAGCAGAGTCTCGGTTGCCGTCAGGCATGGCCCGCGAGGGCCTTATCTCATTATCAATGATGCGGCTTGCGCGCAAGCGATTATCCTGTGCCCGCCTGGGCGATCGTCAAAGAAACTTAAAACTCCAAAACTACAAGCCTATTCACCGTGCGCCTGCTCGGGGCCCTGCGGCGGCGCCAACATAAAAACGGCAAACGGTCACGAATCCCCACTAGCAATTTTTTTTCCGACCTCGTATCTGAAAGTTTTACAGGGTGGACCCCCCGATCGGCTGGTTGGCAAAAGACGTTCCTGGCAAAGCGGGCCCCAGCGGGGAATCCTGGGCGGGCCCGACCAGGCGCACGGTGAATTGGCAGCCGCCCAGGCCCAGGGGACCCCCAGACCAGGCGCACGGTGAATTGGCCACCGCCCAAGGCCCCGGGCGCTCCTGGGCGCCCCAAGGACGTCTCCTGGCGATTCGGGCGCCCCAAGGGTCCTCCAGACCAGGCGCGCGGTGAATTAGCCACCGCTCGGGGGGTCCGACCCGGCGCACGGTGAATTTGCCACCGCCCAAGGCCCCAGGGCGCTCCTGGGCGCCCCGGGGGCGTCCCTCGCGACTCGGGCGCGCCAGGCCCCCCCCCCAGCGCACGGTGAATTAGCCACCGCCCGCGGGGTCCGACCAGGCGCACGGTGAATTTGCCACCGCCCAAGGCACCAGGGCGCTCCTGGGCGCCCCGGGGACGTGCGCGCCAGGGGGGGCCCAGACCAGGCGCCAGGGCGCTCCTGGGCGCCACGGGGACGTCCCTCGCGACTCGGGCGAGCCAGGGGGCCCCCAGACCAGGCGCACGGTGAATTAGCCACCGCCCGGGGGGCCCGACCAGGCGCACGGTGAATTTGCCACCGCCCAAGGCACCAGGGCGCTCCTGGGCGCCCCGGGGACGTCCCTCGCGACTCGGGCGCGCCAGGGGAGCCCCAGACCAGGCGCCAGGGCGCTCCTGGGCGCCCCGGGGACGTCCCTCGCGACTCGGGCGCGCCAGGGGGACCCCAGACCAGGCGCACGGTGAATTAGCCACCGCCCGGGGGTCCGACCAGGCGCACGGTGAATTTGCCACCGCCCAAGGCCCCAGGGCGCTCCTGGGCGCCCCGGGGACGTCCCTCGCGATTCGGGCGCGCCAGGGGGGCCCCAGACGGGCGCTCCTGGGCGCCCCGGGGACGTCCCTCGCGACTCGGGCGCGCCAGGGAGCCCCCAGATCAGGCGCACGGTGAATTAGCCACCGCCCGGGGGGTCCGACCAGGCGCACGGTGAATTTGCCACCGCCCAAGGCCCCAGGGCGCTCCTGGGCGCCCCGGGGACGTCCCTCGCGATTCGGGCGCGCGAGGGGAGGCCCAGACCAGGCGCACGGTGAATTGGCCACCCAGGAGCCCCCC